TGTTGACCAGGATGGTCTCGATCTCTTGACCTCGTGATCCACCCGCCTCGGCCTCCCAAAGTGCTGGGATTACAGGATTGAGCCACCGCGCCCGGCTGCTCTGGCCTTTCACAGTTCCTCACGTGGGTATGCATCATTTTGCCAGAAGTCCTCTGCTTAAAATGCTCCTCTCTCCTCCATTCTTCATTCAGTAAATATTTACGGACTGATTACCATACACTAGGCATTATTCCAAACATTGGAGATACAATGTTGAGCACGAAAAACGGTCTACATAAGAACCTAGGTCTCCAGACATTATACTTAATGCCCACTCAATTTTGTCTTTGGCCCTAGTTGCTAATTAAAACTTTGCTGTGTGGTACGATCTCGCTAACTTAAATTACAGGTTGTCCGCTATGAGGGCTGGACTCTAAGGAAGTCCAGTGGAAATCTTCAATGAAAAGAATCTGTTCTTGGGTGGAAGCCCGGCCCATGCAGGAGGAACACAGGGCTTCCAGGGCTTCCATTCCCGCCTCACACAGGTGTGGGATAGGTCCTTGCTCCCTTCTTTAAGCCAGATTAGTGGGCGGAGCTGCCTTCAGTATCGCACAATGGAAAGGAGGAAGGGGACCCCGCCTCCTACGTGCTCGCGGGGGGCGGGGTCTGGTGGATTGGGCGTGAGTTAATTGGCTGGGGGGCGGGGCGCCACGGGTTGGCTCCGCCCAGACGCTCGCAAGGATCCCGGGTGGAATGACGGGAGGGAGTCTCGGCAGCTCCTAACTGCCAGCGATGGCGTCGCGGTGCCGCGCCCAGTCCCCAGCCTGCCGGCCGGTACTCACTGCTACCCCGAGTTCGTTCAGACGGTGAGATTTGGGGCGGGTCCGAGGCAGCGGCGGGACTCTACCTGCGACCGGGACCATGAGGAACGGCCAGACCCGTGGGGCTGCTAACGGGAGCAGTCGCGGTACCTGCTGAGAGGAAAGAGGGAGCGGCGGCGCGGCAGGGGCGCGGCAGAGGCTTGCCCGCGCCTCGGCCATGTCACTGCTCTGCGTGCGCGGTGAGTGCACGGACTCGGGCGGGGAGGCGGGATGTCGCGGAGAGGTCCCCGCACCCTTCCAGTGGGCGTCTGGTGACGGTCTCTCCCAAACTTTACATCCCGTCCGTGCTTTGGAGGACGATTATGTTAACAATTTATAAACATTTGAAGAGTGCTTTCCTCTCTTGTTTCCCTCCACGCTCCTGCAAGGGACGATTAGCTCTCCATTCCGGTAGCCATGTGACAACGTTGTTGGCTGGCAGGCTCATATCCTATTAAACAGTGACTGGGGTTCTCTAGTGAGAGTGGACGAGTTAGGAGACCGCGGATAGTTGGTGCCTGTGAATGGTGGGCAGCCTCCTGTTCTTTTCCTCCACCTCCTTGCACCGTAACACTACAGTATGCTTAGTAGCAGGTTCTTTTATCACACTTTGAACGCATTAGTGGTACAGCTGTCACATACCTTCTATTGCTTGTCTTGTTCTCTGTCATTTCCCTGAGCACTAACCTGTAGTATAGGCTAAGCTTATTCTTCTGTTCCACTTGGGAGAATGTGGTGACTGCTTTTGGAGCAGAGCATAAGAGGTATAATTTATTTTTATTTTAACTTGCACCACAGTAACTCAAGGTGAAGGGCCATTATTGCTCTTCCCCCGAGGACACTTGACCCATATAAGAAGATATCTTAAAGCAAGAGCTTTGGGGTTTAAGATGAGGCATGGTGCACGAACTAAGCTCCATGTGGGTAGAGACTGTTTCTTATTAGTTTTTGTATTAGTTTTCTTATTAGTGTCTGGTGTAGTAGAGGCTTACTGCTGGTTTTGAATGAATGCAAGAACTGTAACTTCAGAGAGATTATCTGATCAGAAGAAACAGGGTTTGGATTAGCCATTGAATATGATCTTGGGGAATTCAGGTTACAGCCTATCATATCTGATGTGTCTTGATTGTGAATGAGAGAGCATTTATCAACTAGAGCCTTTTCCTGGTACGTTTTACTGGATAGAGTTCATATTTTTTTTGGCTCTGCAGATTAAAAGCATTGTTGTTTGTGATCTCTCCGATAACAGTGTTTCCCCCAGCTGCTGGCAAATGGAACTGCTTTGCTCTGTTCTCTTCCACTGTGTTGTTAAATCTGCATTAACCCAAAATGGATTTGGCCATTTCCGGGGATTATGAGACATACAGTTTTTTTTCTTGCATGGTTCATTTTTCATTAATGAGAATTTTGCTTTGCTTTTAGTAAGATATTTTCTCTCAGCAGCTGGGAATCTATTTATTCCTTTAGATCCCTGCTGCTGAGTAGCAGGATTTGGGAGAGTTTGGGCTTTGCTATGTCTCCTGGACAATTTAATTCTCTACTGCCATGCTATATTACAGAGCTGGTCCTTATGAAAGACTCTTTAGGCAGGAGCACTCTTAAATCAAAAATTCCTATTTAACTGAATTTAAATAACTTAACTACTGGTGTTTTCATTTGTTTTAATAGCAGGCAGGCTTCATTGTCTAGAAATTCTGCTATTTAGCTAACTTCTTTCCCTTTTAATGTTAGGTTAGGCAAGTTCCTTCTTTTTTGAATCTGGAGAAACGGAGATCAGCAGGTCATTGTCTTTTTGAATAGAGATCCAGAAGATTTTAATTATTGTGTAAACAAGCAGGTACCTTGTATGCAGATATTAACATTGAATGGTAAAGTATTCATCCTGGGAAAACTTACAGAAATGAATCAAAATACATCATTTTATTTCTTTTTCTTTTTACTTTTTTGAGACAGAGTCTCACTCTGTCACCCATGCTGGAGTGCAGTGGCACTATCTCAGCTCACTGCAACCGGTGCCTTCCAGGTTCAAGTGATTCTCATGTCTCAGTCTCTGGAGCAGCTGGAATTACAGGTGTGAGCCACAGGCCCAGCTACTTTGTAATTCTTGTAGAGACAGGGTTTCACCAAGATGGCCAGGCTGCTCTCGAACTCCTGACCTCAAGTGATCCGCCCATCTAGGGCTCCCAAAGTGCTGGGATTAGAGGCATGAGCCATTGCACCCAGCACAAAATACATCTTTCTAAAATGACATTCCTTCCATTATATTTTGGCAGTAGGAATGTTATATTTTGAAACCAGCCTATGCAGTGATATTTATTACAACTCAATTTCAATTTATCTTGGAGTAGAATGAATTAGAAACTTCCAGTGCAGTCAGAGTTCAAAAAGTAGTTAACTTGATGTAGAAATTGGCAAACTGGGCCAGGCACGGTGGCTCACGCCTGTAATTCCAGTATTTTGGGAGGCTGAGGCTGGCAGATCACCTGAGGTTGGGAATTCGAGACCAGCCTGAGCAACAAGGAGAAACCCTGGCTCTACTAAAAATACAAAATTAGCCAGGCATGGTGGCACATGCCTGTAATCTCAGCTACTCGGGAGGCTGAGGCAGAATCTTTTGAACCCAGGAGGTGGGGGTTGCAGTGAGCTGAGATCGCACCATTGTACTCCAGCCTGGGCAACAAGAGCGAAACTCCATCTCAAAAAAAAAACAAAAACAAACAAACAAAAAAACAAAAAAAAGAAGACATTGGCAAACTGGTATTGATTTAATCATTCCTAAACATTTCATTCAAGAAGTCAGTTTTTTTGTCTTACTGTTTAATCATGCCTTATTGCCTCCAGGTTTAAGGCTCTCAGTATTCTGACCCAAATCTTCCTTGCAGCCTATCCTTATGCAGGCTTTGCTCTAGCACTAGCTCTGTTTATTCTTGCTTCTACTCTGTTCTGCACGTATGCCACCTGAAATACTCATTCCATATTTTTGGCTTATCTAAAATATATTCTTCCTTTCTCAGCTAACAGTCTACTTTTTTTTCTTGAAAACTTCTTCAAGTCCCCAGTCCACAGTGATCTCTTTTTTCTTTAAACCCTCAGAGCATTTGCGGTCTGAGCAATACCACTAATTTGGAAATGAATCATATGCTACCTACAACTGGTATTGTATTGTGATGCTTATGGTGACCCAGACAAAGGAGGTAACAGCACTGGTCAGATTAGATCTGGAATTCTGTGTTCAGCTGTGGTATTTCCTTTTAAGAGGCATATTAAGAAGGTAGATTATCTTAAGAGGGAAATGATTAGAATAATAAAGCATGTAGGAACCAAAGCATTTGAAGAATATGAGAAATTTAGTTCTAGAAGATTTTAGAGGAAGAGGATCAGAATAGTACATGAAGAGTGTTTTAAAAACTCTCCTGTAGAAGTTATATCACCTTTTTTTGTCACTCCAGAGGACAGAACTGGGACAAGTGTGGATCAGTGGTTGAAAATGACAGGAAATTGGATTTTAGCTTAACTTAAAGAAAAGTTAGGGTTGTTAATAACAAATGAAATGGGCTGCTTAGATTTTTTGACACTAAACAGAAATTGAATGAGTGATAAGAATGTTCTAAAGGGGATATGGACTATTGAGTAGGTGATTTGACTTGAATTTTTTTTTTTTTTTTTTTTTTTTGAGACAGAGTTTCACTCTTGTTACCCAGGCTGGAGTGCAATGGCATGATCTCGGCTCACCGCAACCTCCGCCTCCTGGGTTCAGGCAATTCTCCTGCCTCAGCCTCCTGAGTAGCTGGGATTACAGGCACGCACCACCATGCCCAGCTAATTTTTTGTATTTTTAGTAGAGACGGGGTTTCACCATGTTGACCAGGATGGTCTCGATCTCTTGACCTCGTGATCCACCCGCCTTGGCCTCCCAAAGTGCTGGGATTACAGGCGTGAGCCACCGTGCCCAGCCTTTTTTTTTTTTTTTTTTTTTTATCTTTTGAGACTGAGCCTCTCTTTGTTGCCCAGGCTGGAGTGCAGCGATGCAATCTCTGTTCATTGCAACCTCTGCCTCCTGGGTTCAAGCAATTCTCATGCCTCAGCCTCCCGAGTAGCTGAGACTACAGGCACGTACCACCATGCTGCTAGATTTGAATTTGTAAGAAACCACCCTTTTATAGAAACCACTTAGTCTTTCTTCAAATATTTCCTTAAATATAAAGAAATATAAAAGTCTTTGGCTGGGCGTGGTGGCTCACGCCTGTAATCCCAGCACTTTGGGAGGCCGAGGTGGGTGGATCACCTGAGGTCAGGAGCTCTAGGCCAGCCTGACCAACATGAAGAAACCCCATCTCTACTAAAAATACAGAATTAGCTGGTGTGGTGGTACATGCCTATAATCCCAGCTACTCAGAGGCTGAGACAGGAGAATCACTTGAACCTAGGAGGTAGAGGTTGTGGTGAGCCAAGATTGCACTATTACACTCCAGCCTGGGCAACAAGAGTGAAACTCTGTCTAAAAAAAACAAAAGAAAGAAATATAAATCTTTAGTATGTTTTGACACAGCTTTGCTTATAATACTGATACTTTTTTTGGGCTTCCATAGGGACCAGTACCACGTGAACAACTCCAGTAAGGTAAATCCAGGATTTTATTTGATTTTCATTGTCTTGGTATTCATGACCAAGTTTCTCCAAGCAAATTATAAACATTTTTAGAACCGAACCTTTCCATAATATTTCTATTTGTAATTTTCACAGTGTTTATAACAGTGCTTAGTTAGATAATTTAACTATGGATTTTTCCCCCCTAAAATTAATATATGCAGGCCAGGCGTGGTGGCTCTCACCTTTGGAAGGCTGAGACGGGTGGATCACTTGAGTCCAGGAGTTCGAGACCAGCCTGACCAACATGGAGAAACCCCGTCTCTGCTAAAAATACAAAAATTAGCCAGGTGTCATGGCGTAATCATAGCTACTTGGGAGTCTGAGGCATGAGAATTGCTTCAACCCAGGAGACAGAGGTTGCAGTGAGCTGAGATCACGCCACTGCACTCCAGCCTAGGTGACAAAGCGAGACCTTGCCTCAAAAAAAGAAAAAAA